AGAGTTAAGAAAACGAATATGCAAAAAGCTTTGCAATCAACAACAGAAATATATGACAATGAAGTGTCATTAATTTTTGCCGAAGGATATTTTGCAATTTCATTGTAATGCCTATATTCATGCAAGCATTCATGATTATATGAATATAGCTTAATCAACTATAACCTTTTTAAATAATATTTGATAAGCACTTTTATTTCATTATATAAAATGTAAATTATATCGGTGATAATATCTGTTTAGATTAACTTTCATATAATTTATAAAAAAAAAGACAGATTGTAAAAAACTTTTTTTTGAAAATATAATTTTCCTTTTTTTTTTCAAAACGAATAAATTAATAATTTTTTGAAGCGTTTTGTTTTATTAGCAAAAAAATTATGCTAAATGTAAAAGGTTGAAATTTCTCTTTTCTGCTTTCTATTGTTTTAATTTATTTAATTTCTTAATGGAAAATTTTAAAATAATAAAAGAAATTTGTTGATTAATTATTGATGTAAAAATAAACAAGGATTGTTAAATTTATCTGTTGCAAATTAAAATTTTATTATCAAATTAAAGAAAAAAGAAGAAAATAATTAATCATTCTAATAATTTTCTCTTATTACCTCGGATAATTAAGAAATAGTAGCAAATAATTAATATGAAATTAAATAGTAAAACAATTATAGGGTATTTTAATGATTTAGCCTATCATTTTATCTAATTAAACATAAATCTTAAATTGAAAGAAGAATCATGATAAAAAATTAAAAATTAAATCAATTAATTAGCTATCTGACATTTGCTTTCACAATAACAAAAACAAATAGGAACGACATCAAACGAAACTATTAATGAATTCAATAATAATCTATTATTTGTGTACCTAATTTTTGATACTAATGATTTCTGATATTTCTTTTCCAACAATTTCAACCTAAAATTTAAAATATATGCTCAATAGTGATATTTAAAAAACGAATAGCAAAAAAGTCGTATGCGACAGATTCATATTTTCTCCTTTCATCTGTTTATTATAATTATTATATGATAATTAAAAATTTTTAATTCATATGTTTTTAAATATTAATAATTTAAATTTGTAAATATTTTTTTTTGAAAAATTTTAAAATTTAAATTGAGATAGATAAGTGATAGATATTTGTTGTTTTGTTTGTCATTTTCTTTTCTCATCTTAAATATCTAATAAGTATCTGTCAAACATTCGTAAAACAAATAACTAAATTTTACATATAAATAGCCTATTGATAGCTTATTCGTCTTTTTATTTTTTGCAATATTGAAAATACAACAATTTTTTTCTTTTCTTAAAACATAATTGTTGATGAAACAGCATTTACTAATTGTTAATTAATTAAATTTTTGAATAATTAAATGATAAATAATTTAGTATGTAGGAATTATAGTGAGATCAAGCAATTACTACATTAAGGTGAAATTTTAAGCCTTTTCATAAATATAGTCAATCAAATGATTGACTGTCAGATATTTCACGAAGAATAGGAAGAGAGTTTGTGAGACAATTAAAAGATTTAAGAAGAAAAATTATTTGTAAATAATTTTAACAAAAAGAAAAATCACATATAAATAACCTATTGATAGGATATTCATTTTTGTAACTTTAAATTATAACAAACTTTTTCTTTTAATTAAATCAATAAATCAATTAAATCAATTACTTTTTAAAGCTTTCGCATAGTTTAACAACAATTTACAATATGCTAATGCAATCATTAAAATTATCTGATATTTTATATTGAATATAAGACGGGAAAATTAGCAATCAATTAATAAGTAGTGAAAACTTTTATCATCCAACAGATAATTTTATATGCAATATATGCCTTTATTTCGATTTATATGAATATGTCATATATAATTTATTATATATAATATAAAATAAAAAATTTTTGTAAAGTACTGTAAAATATGTTATAAAATATTGTTGTAAAATATGATCATAAAATATTAAATATAGGCTTATGCATGTATACACACATATATATAATTGGAAGAAATAAGATAATAAATTATTAATTCAATTAAAAAAAAAATGAATAATGAAAATGTGAGGAATGGATAACACATTAAAAACCATTTAAACAATTTCAATTATATTATAAACAATATAATAGTTAGAAAGATTGAATACAAATGTTAGACTTATTAATTTTACGGGTCGTTGCTTACAGCCTATAGGGAATATATTTCATTTTTTATTTACTTCTAAATGACATTTTCTGGTTGTTTCATTTTTTTTGAATTCTAATAGAAAATGATTGCTATGATTGGTTAGAAAAATTAATTATTGATCGAAGAAATTTATTATTTATTGCCATTGAAAATTCGTCATCATTATTATTACAGTTATCACCATTATTATTATTATTGTTATTTATTATTATTATTATTAATTATTTTATTATTATTATTATTATTATTATTATTATTATTATTATTATTATTATTATTATTAATTATTATCACGATAATTGTTGAAACAAGAAAAATTACTGAATATGAAGTAAATAAATAAGTAACAACTGTATTATTATTATTAGTTTAAAATAATGTTCAAAGATTTCATCTTTCTATACTTTATTATCTTCCTGAATGCTGCATTCCTATTATGACTCATTCCTATTTTTTATGTGTATTTTAATATTGAAATATTAAATTTAAGAAATAGCATCAACCTACGCTAATTCGACATTAACATTTAAATTTCATTGTTCAAAAAAAGTTTTGAATAGAATGCCATTTATCAGATGTTCCGCAATCCTCGATGATGACATATATATATCTATTTGTATTATTACCTGAAAAGTTCTTTAAATCATAATCATTAGCTTATTATAATAGTAAATAAATTCTTTGAAAAAGAAATCATTTTTATCCTTTCTTCCTCCGCAAAATATTTTAACGGAATTTTTGTTTTTGTTTCGTTGAAAAATTTGTGTATTTTAAATTTGTTAAAAGTATCCGTTGATTAAGAATAATATAATTTCTTTGGAATTTTGCCGTATCAAATAACTGACAATCAATTATGATTCATGCAATAGTTGAAGTGATTTAAAAAATTTCCAGAAGTTATCAATCAGAGTATAATAAAATTGCGAAATAACGGATGGGATAGATTTCCATCTGTTCAATATATTGAAATTCTGGAATTCAATTTAAAAAAAAAAACGAAAATATGAAATCATAATTTCAGTGTAAGAAAAAAATAATAATATTGTTTGATAAATAGAGGAAAAAGAGGAGAGCGAAGGGATTAGGAGAGGTATTAGGAGGTTAAAGGTCATTTTAGCAATATTCTTCACAAAAAATATAAATGCATATATCAATCTAGAACTTTTTTATTTTACAACAATATTCATCCGTTAAAAATTAAATGTAGCATTATTAAAAAACTTCAAATGTTTGCTGCCATCCTACAAGATTGAGACCGAATTTATTTTCTCTCCATGATTTTTAGCTAAGTATGAGTGCTACTCGATAAAGTTTTCTGGGATCTTGAAACAATATCGAAAAAGAATTCTTATTAACTGCAAATCAATAACAGAAACAACTGAACGAAGTATCAAATTGATAAATTTATTTGAGATATTATACAAATAATTTTTAACAAATTTAACCTTTAACATTTGTATGCTAAAATTTTGGGACACATACAAGAAGATATGACTTAATATTTGATTTGTTGTTGTATAACAACATTCTGATAGATTTGATACAAGATAAGAGCGAGGGAAAACGATGAAAATCGATTCAATTTAAAAGCAATTTGATATAGTCGCTGTTACAAAATTTATTTTTCGGAAAATTCAATAAAGAAGAAATGAAGAGGAAATAATGTGGCAAATAAATTATTTATCATTGAGTGTTGTAAAAGGCTGTTATATCCGTCAATATCTGCTTAATTTTTTTAAGAAAAAAAAAATGAAAAAATTAAATCATACCCGTCATTTAAATTTAGCATACACGATTGGAAAACCATCGTTATTTTGCTAAAATTTCGATTCTTATTCAAATAGGAATACATTTTTCATTTTAACCTTTCAATGGATTTTATAAGCTATCATTTAAATTTAGCATACACGATTGGAAAACCATCATCATTTGCTAAATTTCGATTCTTATTCAAATAGGAATACATTTTTCATTTTAACCTTTCAATGGACTTTATAAGCTAATCAATCAATTTGATATATCAAAATTGATAAGATTAAAAACAAAAATGGATAAACGATATCTTCGAATATCTTCTAACTAATTTTTTTTTTTCCCTTTATCACTAAAAATTTTATTTATTTATTTTCTTTTAAATTTTGCAAGATGAAAAAAAATACATGTACAGGTGTAAGTTACTTATTAGATTTTGCATCCAACAAAAGTGTTGAATTGCCGAACGAATAAATTAAATTAAACGAATAGGAATAAGAAGGAAAAAGATATCTGAGAAATGTTGTGCAAAAGAAAAAAACGATATTTAAATTAATCAAATAAATAATATAAAACATATAATATCATATCGTTAACGTATAAAAAATGTAATAATAATATAAACAAATTATGTTCACTTTTATTCAATATCGATCATCGATAAATACAAAGATAGAAATAATATGAATTTGAATTTGAATTTGAAAAATTTTTATTAACAAATATTATTTTATTTATTTTAAAACATTGCAGAATAATCAATATTAGAAATATAGGAATAAATTTTTAGAAAAAGAAATGAATATTTCATTAGCAAAAAGAAGTAAGTAAATAGACATAAGACAAGATAATTTAATTTATTTATGTTTTTTATTCTTATATTTTTAATATCGATTATATATATATATATATATATTTTAAATATCGATTAAGATTTGTTGAAAATGTTGAAAAATTGTTGAAAATATTGCATTGATCACCGCAATTCATGATAAAAGAAAAGTAAAAAAAAAAGAAGAGAAAGAAAAAAATTCGAATTATAAAGACAAATATTAATTAGATTCTGCAAATGGGCATGCTTTTTCATCATGAATTTTGGTGCATTCATAAACTCTCTGTTGAATATTATGATCCCACTGTTGTGTACCCGATTCGCAAAGATCCGCTAATGTACACGGTAATTTATCGAGACGATAAAATTGATGCAGTAAGCCACGAGCCTAGAATAAAATTTATAGCAAACACTATGCGAATTTAATTATCAAATTATATGTCAAAATAAGTAGAGAAATTTGGAAGAAATCGTAATTATAATTAAAATTAGACTGATGTATGCTAACGAACAAAAATGCTTCATGTTGTGAAATTTTTAAAAACTATTTGCATCTAAATTTGAAATTCTGACAAGTTCCATTCATTTAGTTTACGATAATAATAGCTACAGTAACATGTAGAAATAAAATAATTAAATGTATTGCAAATGAGCACCAATATCATTTTCTCAATTATTACTTGAAATCAGAAATCAAATAATTACCTTTTTCAAAACAACAGTACCATCTAAATGCATAGCAAGTGAACTGAAATACAACAAAATTTCGTCATTTGAAAGACGTTGCTCGGTAATATTATTACCATACATGGAAATAATAGCAACCGCAATGAATAGATGAAAATATGATGTTCGATAATGAGACCAGCATGCTTCCCAAATATGCAACGTATCGGTTTCAGGAAATTCACGCTAAAATAATCAAGTAATTAATTGAAATTTCAATCTAAATTAGTAAAATTAGTAAATCGATATAATTGCTAGAAATATAAGTGGAATTAATGAATATAACTGAACCTTATAATATAATAATATCCATCTATAGACAAATATTAATTCCAGGGCATCTGAACCTAAACTGGCGATATGCATAAAAAAGCCTGGTACAAATAATTTCAATAATTCGCGTAAATATTTCTGCAAAAGTCGGATTTCTTTTTAATCTTGGAATATGCCGTCATATCATGAAAAAACATGTAATATTAAACATTTTTTGAAAATTGTTGCTTCAATACGGTATTGCAATGTAGCGAATCCTCAGAAGGCAGCCTTGATCTAATGGATTCATTAGAATATGATATTTCAAATTGAGGAATGAATTTTATCACAATAGGACGAAACAATACTACTTGTATCACACGAGCAATAGAAGTAATATGTTGTTGTTTTTGGAAATATAGAATTTTCGCATTTGTTTGAATGTCACTGTAGAAAGTATTTAAGCATTGATTGTGAATTTTTTTGCGCATGAATTTTATAAGCCTACCAAATTGATTTCCATTACACTTCGTCCATCCATTGGAGCAGATACAAACAACGTTTGCTGTTGCATAAGTCCAACAAAACACCAATATGTTTCAGATTCATCATGAATAATAGTTAGAAGAGGTGCTAACAAATCAGACATACCATGTACGTAGTTTATTTCGGGATATGCAGCTGCATAATTTAATAAAATATTCCTGAAAAATATATTCAACGATTCGCTCGACTATAAATTTTGAATGATGAATTTTTTATATGAAAGTATACAGAATTTCATCAACTTCTTCTTATCTAATTTTTTGAAAGATATTTTTTCAAATTCCACTTTCAACTTCAATCAATACTTACTTCATTGTATCGATATTTGGATTATTATCACCGGCAAAATATGGTTTATAAAGAACCGTACGGGTAACATCCTTAATTATAGCACTTTCTACGTTAATCCATGATGCTTTAAGCTCGCTTTTCATTCTAGAATGCTCAATGAATATTCATCAAATGCAATTTATAAAATTAATAAATTTCATGCTTGTTACCTCATTTTACAACTTGCAAACTGGATTTTGCAAGATTTGCAAAATTGCATTCATGTTGTTTAAAGCAAAAAAATTTTGATGGAATCCTTGATTTTTAATTCCCATGAAATTGTTCCTGTTAATTTCAATTTCAAACAATGATTTTAGATTTCAAAAATTCGAAACTATACCTCTGCTTTTTTATCTTTTGATACTCAATGAAGAGATCGTTACGTATGATTTCACGTTGTTCGAGCGTTGAGGCCCATGGATATACACGCAATAAAAATGGCCAAGCTTCTCTGCGAAGTGCAGGATCCAATGTGGCAAAATAAATGACCTAAAAATCATATTTAATTTACAATCCTCAATTTTTAGAGAAAGATAAAATTAGCAAAAAAAAAACTAATGAAAACCTTTCTCATGGTGTAACTATCATCGAAACTACCATCTTGATTTTTGCATGATTTCCAAAAATTACAGCTGACTCGTTCATATAGACCTTCTTCTGGATCAAGTTCCGTTTTATTTACTTTCGGCTGACATACTAAAAATTGCCAATCCGGAATCGTTGAAGATAAACCCTAAATAATAATATATTAGGATTTTTGCTGAAAAAATAATCATCCATTTTGCACTGCTAGGACTTCCTTATTTGAATTAAATAATTTTGCACACTTTTTATTTTCATCAACTTCAAAGTTAGAAAATTAGTTTGTAAAAAAGTTTTATACTAATGAATTCTTTTTCAGTGCTTTAATTTCCTCACTTATTATAGCTATTTCTAATTTCTAACAAAAAAGAAATCCAATACTTTTATCCGTACTTTGTAATTTTTCAGTAAATCATTTTAAACTTGTAGCATAAAACTTACATTTTTAATAGCTTTTGTTTTAATATCATTCCATTGTTTAAGTATTTGCGCTAATTTATCCAATCCACTATGATGAAAATGTAAAATTTTGTATTGTGAATCCCATGTAGCAATAATAAATTGTCCAGAAGTTAAGTTATTAGCAGTGAAAAATAAATACATCGATCTCATTTTACCTAAAAATTTTGATTGCATTTATTAATTAAATAATATTTGATATCAATTATTTTATTTCCGATAATTTTATTTGTATTATTATACCTAAATTAACGGAGAAAAACGAAGGACAGGTTGTCTTCTGATGAAAAATTACACTTCTACCGCTAACCAATACGGTTCCATCATCATCAAATTGGCTATCATTTTCCAACAACAAATTATGTGCCATTGCAAATTGTTCCGGTGTTATTTTGCATAAATGTTCACATTTGTCACGATATTGTTGTAGCATATTAAAATGTGATGCTGCAAAAATGCATCTAAGTTGAAAATTTTTTGGAGTGATTTTTGTAAGTGTAATTAAAGAGAAAATTAAATATGATAAATTAAAAATCAGCATACTACTACTTCAAATCAGCATACTACTACAAATCAGCATACTACTACTTCAAATCAGCATACTACTACTTTTCGTAATTGATTCTTTTCGACATTGATCTGTATTCTGAAATTCGAGATCATCTGATGATGAGCTTTTGTGAGTCATTTCTTCATCCTAAAGTTATCAATATAATTCCAGTACATGAGTTTTAGGAAAAATATAATAGCTAATAAATTAAATCACAATGGATTTTCCTAATTTTTAACTCCTGTGATTAGCATTTTTTTATTTGTAAGAAAATTGATATTTCCGAAACGAATAATATAAGCAATAAGCAATGATTGTTATCAGCAGTATACTTTATCAGAAAATTCATCAGCACCAGAAGTTGTTGCCGAACTGCTATCTCTGTCCTAGAAAAAATTTTAAATTTGAATTTAAAATTTCAAAATTTGATTACACTAAAATTCAATCACTAAATGTTAATTCTATAAATGGAATAGCAAGTGAGGAAGGAATTAAAAGTTTTTAATCTTGATGGGAAGATTAAATTACTTGCTTGAATTAGTGAACTAAATTACAACATGACTTACGATAAAAATAAAAGAAACTTGGTTTTGAAAATTTCAAAGCCAAATCGTTATTGTTTGAAATAGAATGTAATGGTATATTTCATTTGGTCACCTTTTCAATGGTTGGAGAAGACTCAACCGGTGTATTTGGTATCACATTAATTGCTGGCACTTTCAAAATTTCCGAATTTACCTTAATTAATGAAACCTTTCAAAACAGAAGGAAGAAAGCGACAAAATAAAAGAAAAATTAATTCCATAAATTGTTCAACCAAATGATGCCTTATTTTAGTAATAACAAATAATGATTTTCTTTCTGTGGCTGGTATCTTATGAATTATCAAATAAAAGGAAATTACGAACAAGATACATTAGTTACCAAACAAGATTATTGTATGAATAGTAAAATGAAATCGAAAAAGGAAATGAGTAGAATGATATGGTAAAGTAAACTTGATCCGGAATATGATCATCAGTTTCCCTGATCTTCTTAAATTGATAATATCTTACAGATATTTGTCTCCATTTTCTATTTTTGAAAGAACCCTAGGTATGACATTTTTTAATAGGTGAAATTGGAAAGCATCAAGCATGAAAAATGATTCGGGAATTTTTAAACTCTTAACTACCGTTTTTCTTATCTTAAAAAGTTCACAATTAAAAAAATTAACATTGCGAAAACATATTATTGATGGTATATTAGGATTTCATCCCGAATCCCGAGAGTAAGAAAAATTACTGAAGATTTATACAATGAAACTTCAGTTCAAGCGATGACACCACTATATCAATTCATCCGTTTATGTTTGTGCAAATAGCAGATATCAAAATTTATAAATGTAGAAAATACCGGTGACATGAATAAATCTAGCCTTCGTTGTTTCATCGAAGTTATGGTTATCATATCACCATTCATTTCAACGTTAATGTCGTTTTCACTTGTCGGACTCTACAACAGAACAGATCATAAAATTGATTGCATTATTTTAAACTCTTAATTAATTCATTTCCTTCTCATTAGAAAATTGAAATCATTAACAGGTAGGAAATAATTTTGAAAAAAAAGATAATGAAGTAAGAGAAACGGCAAAAAGTGGGAAAATTTTACACGTTCATCATTTGTATGATCACTTTGCGTTTTATCATCGTTATCATCATCATCTTCATCGTTATTATCATCATTATCATCATTATCGTCACCACTACTTTGCACACATACTCGTAGCTTAAAATTCTCTTTTAAAACATATATATCCATGCAGCTTATTTTTAGAAGCATTCAAAATTAATTTTCATTAAATTAATTCTAAATGTTTCTAAATATCAAATTAGCTCAAATATCAGATTTATTAAAAAAGTACTAATAAAAATTTTCCAATTTTTATGCTACTTATACTAAAGTTGAAATAACATCTGTGCACAATACTTTTAGACAAACCTTATTATTGAAATTCCGAAATTTCATTTGATCACAACTGGTACCAACGGTATTTCGATTTTTCTTTGATACATTACGAATGCTACAATTAAATTTAACTGATATTGATTTCCAAATAAAATCTTTGGAAATGAGGCATAAAAATTTTAGAATTCACGATAATATATGTTACTTTCTTGAATTCTTTTTAAGCGTTTCATTAGGTAGCCATTGCAAAATAAGAGTAATTCCTAATACATCATCGTTTTGACATTTCAAGGTCAAATATCCAGGAATGTGCTGTATGGAATTATCGATATCCTAAAAAATTATTAACACTAATTACTGTTGTATTGAAATACTACGAATATAAAGATATAAATTAAGCATGATACCTTTTGATCATTTTTACGTACATCATGAATGCAAACATTATTTTTCGAATAAACAATTTCACCATCTTGACCAATAAATGTATTATTTAAGCCTGAAGTAAAATTAACAATAAAAAATTTCTACGAATAAAAATTCATTTAAACTAATTAACAAAAAAATATATAATTTCAACATAAATATTGAATTTTATCTGCTTGAAATGATTTAATTCAATATCCGATACTATTATCAAATCTTAGGAATGGTTCAATTAGGAATGGTTCAACGATAATTATTATATGCGTGTAATGTAATAAATTTTACTAATTGCATGCATAATATTGATTATCGTGCAACTTTTTGTTATGCAACCTTTTGTTTTCATTTTTAACAACCAATTTTAATTATTAAGAGTGTTACTAAAATAACATCGGCTGTCTTTTCGATGTCAAAGTGAGACATATATTTAGCATGTAAAATATTGCTACTAAAAAAAAATCATTACAAACAAATAAGATATCATAGTGTTGAAAAAATACCGCAATGTTGAAAAATTTACTATTACTAAATTAAAATTTTTGCATTTCAATTTAGCAATATCTTAAAGAATTTCTTAATCAATTTCAAAATTATAATAATCGATAAAAATTTGATTATATATATATTTCCCTGAAAAAATGATTTATAGCAATTTGAAAAATTTTAATCGAATTGAAGTAAACCTCGGAAGCTATTGAATGCTCCATGTGCTTTTCTGAGAAATTCACTTAGAGATGGCATATTTGAATTGTATTTATGACCATTAATAAAATCTGCAAAAGAGGAAAATGATGAAGATTTAAATATAAAATAAATTATCAATATCTGCATGAAAAAGATGATAAGGATTTTTTTTAAAATGATAAAGATTTAAATATAAAGATTTAAGTATAGAATTAATTAATAATATATTAACAATATCAGCAAGGTAAAAATGATAAAGATTTAAATATAGAATTAATTAATAATATATTAACAATATCAGCAAGGTAAAAATGATAAAGATTTAAATATAGAATTAATTAATAAGATATTAACAATATCTGCAAGAGTTTTTTTTTAAAAAATGATAAAGATTTAAATATAAAATTAATTAATAATTTATAAACAATATCTGCAAGAAAAAAATGATAAAGATTTTTCCAAAAAAATGATAAGGATTTAAATATAAAATTAATTAATAATATATTAACAATACCTGCAAGGAAAAAATGATAAAGATTTTTTTTTTTTTAAACAAAATGATAACGATTTAAAAAGAAGAAAAACATATAAATAAAGTTTAGAAAATTTCTTCTATAATAGTAATTGGGAAAAATCATAATAGGATAGAAGAAAAATGTTTGAAGAAATTTCGTAAACTCTTCAATACTTTCGCCATCTTAAAGAAAATAATCTTTAACAAATCATAAAAACAATGCAATTATAATTCTGATATAAAAGAAACTAAAAAGTTATGTGAAAGCATTGAAATAATCCCATGTGAGTATGAGCTAAACATTATACTGATATGGTTTGGAAGAAAATTCGATATGAAAAAGAAAGATAAATAAGATTGGCATCATTGAATTGAAATTTTGATTGAACGACAAAAATTTTGTTCATTTGTAAATTTGTTGGAAGAAATTATTGAAAATATTACGTTTAGCTTTGTTTTTGATAAAGTTTAAAGATTAAAGAATACAATTTCACAATTATAAATATTAAATTTATTAATTAAAAAAATTAATTTTTAAAATTTTGATGAAATTTAAAAGTTAAGTGAAATTTTTTTTAAGGTTAATTTTCTCTGTTTCTTTTCATCGTTTTGAAATGGATAATTTTGTTCTTTTTTTCTCTGTAGAAAAATGGTAAATAGAAAGGCTACATACTCTTTTTCGCATTCTTTCTTTCTTTCTTTCGTTTTAATAAAACGAAAAAATTTTTAAATCTAAAATTAGAGGATGAAAAAGTTTGAAATATGTTTATATAAAACGAGAAATACATTCGAAACATTGATGGGAATGCATTTTCCAAGATCAATATTGAAAATGAATTGTAGTTATTTTACATCATTCTTTCTCTTTTAAAATGAATGAAAGAGAGAGAGAGAGAGAGAGAGGGAGAGAGAGGGAGAGAGAAATGAAAAAAGGAAGGAAGAAAAGGAGAGAGAGAGAGAGAGAGAAAGAATAAGGGTTGTAAAGAAGAAAACAAAATATATCAAACAATAGATGATATTGAAATTATATTGAATGTTAGTTTTTCATTTCATGATATCATGCATAAACTTTGTTTTAAATTAATTGCATATCTAATTTTATAGTCTTTTATAATAATGATATAATGCAAATTGTAAACAATTCGAAAATGAGAATTTTCCCTTCAACCAATAATAATAAATATAAATATATACCAAATAATTTATAACATATATCGAAATATACTGAAATAGAAAGAGAATGATAGAAAAAAAGGAAAAAAAACAGGTGCAAATTAATTTTAAATTATAATTAATAATTTTTATAATATTGCAAAAATGATAATGCAAATTTTTGATATATTTAAAATGGGAAATGATAGTTTTAATTCGTATCAAATGAATGTTTTAACACATATCACTATGTTTATATGCATTCTAAGAAAATATTTAATTAAATCAAATTAATTGAAAGTTAATTAATAGAAGAAATATATGAGAAGGTATTTCGATTTTAATTTATTTATAAAACAACAAAAATGCTATTATTTAGAAATAATAATTGATAAGTTTATCGTTGATATTGTTGAACATTCATTATCATTGAATAAATTGATTGACAACTATCATCAAAATGAATATCATCGTGAATTTGATGATAACTACATCAATTATGCATTAATAATCATTGATAAGTGGCAAATTTTATGCGTTCAATACAATCGATAAATATTTTTGATAAAATAAATGAAAATAAAAATAACGAAAAGAAACATAAATATTCAAATAATTGATATTATTGATAAAATAAATAAGAATGAAAAAATAAACATATAAATAAGCATACAAAAATATCATTATGAATTTTTGCTTAAATTATTATTCCAATCAAATAATTTAATTACCAATTTTAAAGAATTAAAATGAAGCAGAAGATCAAAGGTTTTTAAGAGAAACAAATTTTAACTAAGCAATTCTGAATTTAAACAAAATTTTTATTCGTTTAGGTAAAAATTCCATAATAATAACAATAATAATAATAATAATAATAATAATAACAATAATAATAATAATATTAATAATAAATGATAATAATAAATAGCAGTTAATAATAGTAATTAACAATGTTAATAACACTAATAATAATTGATAATAATAATTCAGGTAAAGCAAAATTAAAAAAGCTTCCTGATTGCAATAATCATTAAGCTAATTTTATTCTTTTGTCACAATGAATTATTGCTCATACGATGAAGAACAAATAATAGATTAATATTAATTAAAAATATGAAAATGAAGCATCATTTTAAACAATAATAAATTTCAAAGAAACAAATGAATGAATAAATGAAAATATAAGTAAACAAAAACAAAACGAAAATATAAATAACCAAAAAAACAATTTCAATGAAACAAATAAACAAACGAAAATGTAAAATAAGCAAAAACAACGAGCAACAATATTTGTGATAAGATAAAGATAAGAAAAAAAAAATGCTATTATATAAATATTCAAAAATTTTTTCAATCATTTTAATATTGAATTAAATAAATGAAATGAAAGTGATTATTTCAATATCGAATATTACTTTGAACAAATAAATCTCTTCAAATTTAATTTTCTCTTTTTCTTTTCATTTCTATTATTATAAATACCGTAAATTAGGATTATTAATATTTTAAGCCATTCTTTCATAAGTGCAAACATTTCATTCATTTTCAAAATTCATTTATTCAAATATAACAAGCCTATTTTACAGTATTAAAATTTATTAATAGAAATGAAAGGAAAAAATAAACAATAGAAAAAGATATTTGACTGAGCAAATTATAATCATTTCCCTTTTAATATATTTATATTAAACAGAAATGCTTGAAATATTATAAAAGAATTATTTCGTTTCCCTTTCTTACCTTTCTTTTTTTGATGAAATTTTTGAAAAGAAATAAATTATTAAAAATTTTTTTTGTTTTAAATTTAAAAAATAATTAAACCATTGCAATTAGTAACAAGCAAAACGAAGCAATCAGACAAAGTACTCTAATAATTTGCAAAGCTATCTGAGATATATCACATTTATAATTAAATCAAAATAAATAAAAATAAAATATAATTAACTATGTTTTAGTTCTAACGTTTTATTATTGATTTATTAAAAAAATGAAATTTTTCTTATAATTAAAAAATTTGATAATTTTTCTTTTGTTTTATTTATATTTATATAATCGATATGAAATGTAATTTCAATTGTAATATTTGAAATGTTGAAAATTTTGCTAAAATATTATTTTATTATTGCTTTTTTCTTTTTTGGAAAATATCATTCATTTTAATTAAATTTCGAAAAACAAATGAATTAATGAAGTTAGAGAAGGTGATAATTTGATTGAGATTAATTATAATCTAATTTAAAAGTTGTAAATTTTATCAAACAATTTATTTAAGTCAATTATCCATCGTTTCCGAAATTTTTCTCTTAATGAAATATTGATATGATAAGTATTTAAATTGATTAATTTTCAATTGTTTTATCTAAAAATCATTCAGATTCAAATAAAAGTTGCAATAAAGGAAAAAATTAAAATTTTTATGATAAAAAGTACAGATTTTAAAATAAAACATTGAGAAAATTTTGTGATAATTAAAGCAAATTATGTTAATTGATAAAATCAAATTTGAAATTAAAACCTTAAAGAAAATTTGGTGAGAAATAAAGATAATTTTTGTAATAATTAGAAATAATTGATAAAGAAAATAACCTTGAGAAAATTATGTGATAATTAAAGATAATTATTAATTATAGAAAATCCTATTAATTGATAAAATCAAGTTTGAAATTAAAATTGTGAGAAAATTTTGTGATAATCAAAAATTATTTTTGTGATAATTAAAATTAATTGATAAAAAAAAAATGTTTCACCTAGCAATTATTTGAGAATAATAAAATTAATTAAAAAAAATTGAGAAAAACAAAAGAAAAAAAATTAAATTCTTTATCTTTTGTTCTTTAGAAATTGTTAAATTTCAAGCGCATAGCATTTTCATAGCTTTTAAAAGAGCGTTGCATTTAAAAATTAATTCTTTTTCACTTTTACCGTAGCTACCAGTCGAGCAGTATTAACTTTTAAAATTTTTAACGAATAAAAACGAACAATTTGAAATAGCAAAAAAACCTTTAAAATTTATCATTAGTGATAAGTGTTAAAAGATAAGAGTTAAAATAAGCGTAATTAACAAAATTTAAATTTTCGAAATTGCAAATTTTGTATTATATTGGAGAATTTTAAATGATAATATTAATTACATTGATAATACTATTAGATATAATCATGAATATGATTAATGATAATCTAACAATTAAATGATTATGAATAACAAAATTTCCAATGCAACTGTAAACCCCATATTGAATTTCATTTGAAATGGATGAAAATCTCTTTTTTTCACGTAATAAAATTTTTATTGTAATTAATTCAAATTTTTAAAATATATAAAAAAATGCTTTTAATTTAAACTTGAATTAAAATTTAAATTAAATTAGAGTTTATTTTTTCTTTTGAAGAT